CACACCCTCTTCCTCACCATAGATGGCAGCCCTGTTCAAAGACTATGAGGTCGTGAGTAGAGATCACTAGGTACCATGTCATCTATTTTGCAGAGTCAGAATGGAGTTCAGAAAACCTTTACTGAAAGTGAGATGGTACAGTCAGGACTAAATCCTCCAAATTCAAGAGTATATATAACGGGAGGAGAGTGCACTGAAGTCAGGACGGATGGCATCTCAAGCTGGCTGGTCACTTAAAATCTCTGTGGCTTTAGGCAGTTTGTCCAGTTCCATAAAGCATTTGCTGAGCAGCTTCTAGAAGCCAGGGATAAAATTGTGGTAAAAGACAGAGTTCGTGTCCATAACAGACTCGTAGCCTTGCCAAGAACAAGATACTTAAATAACTAATGAAACAAGTGCTGGACAGAGGCAGTTTTGTCTTGGAGCATCCTCAGAGGGTAGGAACATTGGAGCAGGCTCTTGAAGGATGAGCAAGATGCTGAGTCTGTAAGGTACAAAGGGCTTTTGTTCCTGGGTCTCAGTTTCCCCCCAGTCTGAGGACAGCTCTAAAACCAAGTCACTCACCAAGTTTCCTGAAGCTCAAACCATGAGAACTGTGGCAGTCACCTAGGAGAAGGTGCCAGCCCACCTGAGCTGCTGTGCTTTCTCTCACCTGGGTTACATCCTGGAGCTCCTTCCTGTAGAAGTGAAGCCAAGTGTCTTTTGTTTGTTCATTCTCTTTTCTTAGTCACTTTGATGTACTTTCATATTTGCTTTTCACTGTTAAAATGGTTCCTACTAAGAGGAATATTTTCATTTGTTTCATTTTTGTTAAAACTCAGTTCTTATTAAAATGTGGGCAAACCAAATATTTGATTTTTCTCAAATCACATATGTGATCATGGTAATCCTTTGCTCAAAACCCTACATTGTGGTAATTGTCTACACAGTGAAAAGGCTGCTCCTTTCCTGAGTCCCCACAGATGTCCCTTTCATACACTCTGCAATTCAGCCACTTAACCCTGCATCCCACTCCCATGATCCTCTCTGTTTTCCTGCCTGTGCTTGAGCTGTTCCATGACTATAATCTCCGCAACCCAGCCTGCCTGCCTTCTCCAAACTTTTATCTCAACTTCAGAGTCTGAGGGAGACTATCTCTCAGGCAGAATTCCATATGCAATTAAACTATCAGATAGAACGATGTTATATGAAAATGCGGATCAAGAGGCTGGAGAGATGGCTCAGTGGTTAAGAGCACTGGCTGCTTTTGCAGAGGACCAGGGTTTGATTCTCAGCACCGACATGGTGACAGCCATTCATAACTCCAGTTCCAGGGGAATCCAATGCTTTCTTCTGACCTCCATGGGCATTGCATGACACAGGAGCACTTACACACATGTAGGCCACACACTCATACACATAAAACAAAAATAACAAATAAAAATTTAAAAAAAGAACCTAAAGATCAATAAAGACTGAAGGAGTTTTCCACTCATCAACTCTCAGGGGATGAAAAGATGTATTCCCAGTTGCAGGCTCAAGGAATATATGTATATTTATTTATTATTACAACATGGTCAAGTTCTATGGCTAGGTTGAGATCGGCCCTTAGTGAACATTTTTATGCTATGGAAATCAGTAAATACTAAAAAATAGGACTCTTTTTTATCTACACAGGGAATTAGCTTGCCTGAATTGGTTGGTGGCCTTTCTTACAAGCATGTAGTTATGAGTGTTACCATTCACACACACGCGCACACACACGCACACACACGCATGCACATGTATATTTGACACACTACAAATGGTATGCAGTGTGGTTAAACATATACTATCCTTCAGTAGTCCTTCCTCATCAGGTGATTGGGGAAGCCATGAGGTTGCTGTGGCTGAGAGGTGTATCGGCCCCATGCTTCTCTCTTCCTGAACTGTAGCATTTTGTTGCCTGTGACCAGCCCTGCTTTGGCTTCTCTGTCCCTGGCAGAAGTGCTCAGTTCCTGGATGTGGCGCTAATATACTAATTGCAGAGCTATGCATCTTTAGTTACTCAAAATTCACTCTTTGAAGTACAGCATCTTGGCTTGGCCTCACAGGCATCTGTGTAATTGTGTGATGAATTGGTGACAGGCAGGTAACTGGTCTTGTCTGTCTGAAATAGAGACCTGCAAATTGCTCTTGTGAGTTTGTACTTTACAGCTATCCTTTGCTGGCTACTGCCTGGCTCAGAGCCAGCAAGGTCAGGTACCAGGTTTTGTCAGTACAGCTGACCTCTTTTGAATATCAAGGCCAAGGTCAGATGACCCAGAACATAGAGTAAAAGAGGAAAGGCAAAACAAGCAAGAGATGTGAAGCAAAGTATAGATCAGGATTAGAGGAGCTGATAAACTGAGGCACCTAAGGTGGAGCTGGAGTAACAGCACTGGGAGGCGGCCCATTGAAAAGTGACAGAGAGGACACATGTAAGAGACAGATAGAGACCTGGGACAGGATCTGACTCTGCATTCCTCTACTGAGATTTACATCTCAGCTTCCTCATAAGTTGACTTAGACTGAGGGCAAAATGCTAGATGTGGCTGGGGACAGTTGTGACTTTCTGAGAAATCTGTGGTCTCTCTTGTCTTTAGAGAGGAAGTGGTATGTTCTAGATTGACTGTCACCCTTAAAACTGTGCTGTCCATCAATTGACTGTCCCCTGCTAAGACTGCACATGGGAAAGTGCACAGTGCCTGGGACAGAGGGGCTAGGAATGTTCACAGTCATTGTGTAGTCTCCTGGTGGATTTTAAACTAGCTACCTTTCACCACAGAGGTAAGCTAGTTGGGTCACCACATCATGTACCTGAAGGTGACTTACAAAAGCATAAGGTAGTGCATCAAGCAGGGGGAATACTAATTATTTTGGACAGCTTGAGCCTTTCCTACAGGCAGCCTTCCCCCGTCTCTCAGCCTTCCAATGCAAGTGCTTTTTATTTTATTCCTTTGACACTTTATTATTTTATTTTATTTTTTTGTCTTTCTGAGATGGGGCTCCCAGTAGCCCTGGGTGACCTGGAACTCCCTATAGAGACCAGGCTGGCCTCAAGTTCACAGATATCTGCCGGCCTCTGCCTCCTGAGTACTAGGATTAACAGCATGTGCCACCACACCCAGCGACACTCTATTTTTTAGTTTTTATTACATTTTATTTATTGATTTTGTGGCACACCTGTGAAAGTCAGAAGGCAACTTGTGGAAGTCGTTTCTCTCCATCCACCATATGGGTCTCAGGGATCAAACTCAGGTCATTAGGCTTGTACAGCAAGAGCTGTTACCTGCTGAACCGTCTCTTGGGCCTTGGTTTTCTGCTGACCTTGTTTTTTTTTTGAGAATTTCATATATGAGTATTGTATTTACATGATTTCCACCCTTTCCTGCACCAACTCCTCCCACGTCTTCCTGCAATTTTGTGACCTCTTCTTCCTTTAATCATTAATACACACACACAAACACACACACACACACACACAAAAAAAAAAACAAAAAAATCACAAAAAACAACCTACTGAGTCTACTTAGAGTTGCTCAAATGTACATGTATTTAGGGCTGACCTCTTGGGACTGGATAACCTAGCAAGGAGCTCTTCCCTGGGGAAAATTGATTCTTCCTCTCCCAGCTGTCATTGATTACCTGTAGCTCTTCATCAAGGTGTGGGACCTTATAAAAATCCCTTCCCCATACACATTGGCATGTTGACTGATGTTGTCATTATGCAGGTCTTGTTTAGACAATCCTGTTATTGAGATTTAATGGGTACAGCTGATACATCTACAAAGCAATCTCTATACCTAAGACTCTGGAAGCTTCCTGGAAAAGGGGTGGGTGGAAACATTCTAAGAGGTTGAAGAGCAGGATACCTGCTGCTAGATAGTGTCTTCTAGACATGGCCTTGCTTCTTAAGTAAGATAAACCCTACCGAGAAAAGAATAGAAGTACTTGGGAGGAGAGCTACAGCTTGAGTGCCAAGAGTTAAGCATGGGAAAGGGGGAGAAAGAAGGCAGGTAAAATTTTTGGATCTTCCAAAGTATAATTTATAGATAATCCTACTTTGGGTATTGCTGTTGTTGCTACTGTTTTGTCTTGGTTTTGGTTTTTTGAGGCAGGATCCCATATACCCCATGCTAGCATCAAGCTCAGTGTGTAGCTGAGGATAACTTTGAACTTCAAATCCTCCTCTCTCTACCTTCTCAGTGCTGGGATTACAGGTGTGCACTACCATGCTGTTTATGTGCTGTTAGAACCAAGGGCCTCATGTGGTGCTAAACGAGTATTCTACCAACTGAGCTACATTGCCAGCCCAGAAAATTGTACTTGGTTTTTTGGTTTTGTTTTTAATGGATAAGGCCTCCTCTGGCTCTGGGTCACTGTCATGTCCCTGGTCACATGAGTTCTAATGCTTGCTGATGATGCTCCCTCAGACAGAGGAGGGACCAAGAGGGTGTGTCTCATGCACGATACACTTCCAAGTGTATTAATTGTAAGTGTAAACGTGCTGAAACACGAAGAAAAACAAGGTTTAAATTTAGGGACAGTGCTCAAACCATAGATGTGCTTTAGCTTCCAAGGTCGAGGGAAAAATTTCACTCTCTTTTGGCATTTCAGAATATTAATAGTGTACCTGTAATAATGATAGCACCTTGTATATATTAGGTGCTCAGTAAATAAATAATCATTAAATTATTTGTTCCAATAAAATAACACATGCTTATAAAAATCTCTGGCCTAAAGCAAAGATAATCCAAAGTTCTGCCATTTATCACTGGATAAATATAGACGTTCCCAATGCACACAAATGTATATATTCTTTCATAAACCAGAATTGCACTGCCCATGAAGTTTTGTAACTTGTCTCCAGGTCAGTAAGTTTGTTCCTTCCAGTTAGTATATATGAAGTGGTATCATGTAACAGTCTACTGTTTGAGGACGGATTTGGCAGTTGCTCTGCTTTAAGCCTTGACACTTCTTATGTGCTGTTCTTTATTCAGCAGGTGTCGTCGGCAGAGGTACGCATTGGGCCCATGAGACTGACGCAGGACCCTATCCAGGTATGCCTCTATCCCTCAGGAGGGGCTTTGCTACTGGGACATGTGAATATGTGAGCAGTGTTTGAGGGGTCTTCTGGTTTAGCAACAGATCACCATCACTGCCCCTCTCCCATACTTACATACTGAATATATGTGTGTTTATAATTTGCTTTTATTAATATCATACTTGAGAACTCAGATTGTTTTCTTGATGACTTAAACATCACCCCATTTTGAGTATAAATATAATAAGTAGATTGGCAGATGGATTGGGGGGAAGAACGGGACACTCTGCTGTAAACAGAAAGGGAAGACATGGTGTGCTGGGGAAGGGCAGGGCTTTGAGAGCCACAGCTGGGTGTGAACCTGGCTCTACCTCTTCAGGAGTGTGAGCTTGCTTACATTATTTTCTTCCTCTGTCCCACTGTCCCATTGGCACAGTGGAGATGACGTTGCTTTTCTCACTGGGAATTGTCAGTGCCAGGAAATTGCATTGCATGCTATTGTAGCACTTAGCCTACCAGTAGAAGGTACCCCAAAACTGGGCTGTCACTGAATGAATAGCTGTCTCCGTTCCTTGGGAAGAGAAGAGAACACAAGCCTCTCCTTTCATGTCCCTTGTGACTTAAGCAAGCAGCCTATTGGACTCTGTGACAGAGAAGAAACAGGGGCCCTTGCAGAACTGGCTGACTCTGACAGTGACTCTGGTTAGCAGCTCTGTCTTTCAGAGCTCCACACTTCCTGTGCATCCACACCAGAGATGTATGTGTAAAGGGCGTTCCTAACCATTTAAATCATTGTATGTGTCTGTCCATTGGTCTTGAGTAAATGTGCCTCCTCTTTGTAACAAGTATGACTTGTCAGCATCTGGAAGCTTATCCTACGCTTGGGACAAGAGAAGGTATCAAGAAACCGCTCAAGGTACAGATGACAGTGAAAACCAAACTAAGAGCACGTGCTGGCTACTTGAGTTACGAGCTGATGGACAAAGAAAATAATGCTTTATAGTTGTTTGAAAGGAATTACAGATCTAGGGAAAAGGAAAAACAACAAAAGGAAGAGGTTCAGCTTGGGAAAATCTGATGAAAACAAATTTAGGAGCAAAGAGAGAAAAATAAACGCAGAATACAAGGAAGTGGAAAATTCCTGTGATCATTCTGAAGGCATGTACTTTGTACGCCAGCTTTGAATCAAGGCAGGGATAAAGAGCTGATATCAGGAACTGATTCCCAGAGTCTTTTCCAGAACACTTCCTGGGGGCCTAAGTGTAGGTTTACATCAATCTCACTTACCTTCATTTTGCCCTGGGCTGCCATGACAGTGAATGCTCATAAGGATTATCTTGTTCTTTTCAAAGAGAATTGTGTGGGGCTGGAGAGATGGCTCATCAGTTAAGAGCACTGGCTGCTCTTGCACAGGACCTGGGTTCAAACCCCAGCACCCACATGGAAGCTAACAATTGTCCATGACTCCAGTTCCAGGGCATCCAACACCCTCTGACATGGGTGCACTTACATACATGCAGGCAATGCACTCATACACATAAATAATAATAATAATTTTTTTTCAAGTCAGTCAACCATAAATATGTGGTTTATTTCTGAATTCTTGGTTCTATTGCATTGATCTATAGGTCTGTCTTTGCCAGTGCGATACTGCTTTAATTATTATAGCTCTGTAGTGAGTTTTGAAAAGTGTGAAGTGAGTTACAGTCCCCTAACTTGATGTTATTTTTCAAGATGATCTTAGTTATTTGGATACTCATAACCTCACTGAACTCATTTATGAGCCTACATAATCTTTTTTTTTTACATTTATTTATTATTTATTTGGGGAGGGAAACACATGTGCTATGATGTGTATGTAGAGGTCAGAGGACAATTTGAACGAGTTGATTCTCATCCTTCACCATGTGGGTTCCAGGGATCAAACTCAGGTCATCAGGCTTGGCAGCACTGGACCATCTCACTGGCCTCCATTCAGTCTTCTTTCTTTTTAAATGGAGTTCTAAGGATCTTCTGTGTCAGATCATGTCATTATTCCTCCTTTTCAGATCTGGAATTTTTATTTGCCTAACAATTTCATGACAAATGTGCTGTTTTCTTTTAAAGAGAACTGGAGATGTAGCTCAGTAGTAGAGCACTAGTTCAGCCTGCACCAGGCCCTGGCTGTGATCACCAGCACTGAGAAAAACTATTCATTGGATCATGTTACATTCCTACAATAATAAGAGACTTCTGTTACTTCAAACCCTTGGTACTGCTCATGGTGTCTGTCTCTTTAATCTGTCTACCCTAAAGGATAAACAGTACTTAGATTGTGGTTTAGGTTCTTTTCTCCATGACTGATGAGCTTTTTTTTTTTTTTTTTTTTTGCTTTTTGGTCATTCCTCATTTTCTTTTGGGAAAGTATTTGTTAAATCTTCTATACATTTTTCCAGTTAAGTTTTTAAAGGTGTTGAATTGAAGAACTTCTTGTGTGTATGTGCACATGTATGTGTGTATAAATGGTATGTGAACACATATGCAGCTGCACATTCTTGTATGTGTGCATGTTGAGGCCACACATTGATGTCAAGTGTGTCTTCCTCTATAGCTTTCCACCTAACTCCCTGAGATAGAGCTCACTGTGTTAGCGAGACTGGCTGGCAGGATCCACTTGTTTCTGTCCCGGAGCCTTTGTGTTTATAGACCTGTGCTGCCGTACCAGCTCTTACATGGGTACTGGGGGTCCAAATTTAGGTCCTCATGCTTATACAGCAAGCACTTTACCCACAGAGCCATCCCAGATGCAGAAGAAATTGTTTCTATATACTCATTAGAAGTTCTTTATCAGATCTGAAAACCTTTTCTCCTAGTTTGTGGCATTTTTCTTCATGTCCATAACTTTGGCTTTTGATGAGCAATTTTTTTCATTTCGATAAGATTTTATGTTATATAATATATATTTA